ATTTCTATCAAACGTTCAACTCTGGAATTGGAAGACATTTTAAATATCCAAAATAAACAAAATAGGCCTCACAAACAGAATGATTTGTCTGACCCTGTGGACGACGTCGACCTCTTCACTGACCTTTGCCACTTCTCAGATGTTCTTTAGGCTCCACCGTTTTCACTGTTTAGGACTCTTTCAGCTGCAGGCTCTCTTTGGAGAATTAATCCACTTGTTTCTCCATTTCTATCACTTTCTTATTAAAGTCTTTGAGATCCTCCCACTGGAGCTGAACCGACTTAGCAATAACCGCTAACATAGCACTGTGCTGCTTCATTTGTAAGCCAATTTCCTCCATGCGGTCATCTACTTTCTTCTGCCCCAAGGACCTTACAGCCTCAACATCACCTCAGTGTTCATTTCTTCCTGAGACCTTTGCTTCTTTATTCAATCGGGATTCTGGCTTCTCTCCCGTTTGCTAGCCGCAGCTGCCTCCACAGACACAGTGAAGTCGCTCTCGGAGCTTTTAGACTGCAGGTGGGGTAAACTTCTGACCAGTGAAACTCAAATCTCCCATGATGCTCCTCTGCAGCATGGCGGTCCAGCTGTGGTGCCTGTCGTTCCGGCAGCCGTACGCCGGTTTGGTTCTGGACGGGGTGAAGACTGTGGAGAGCCGCTGGCGCCCCCTGCTGGCGCTGCTGGAGAACCGCACCCTGGCGGTCCACATCGCCTGGCAAGACTGGGAGGGGGAGGAGTGGAGGGCGGCGCTGGGCGGAGCTTGGGGGCTGAGCGCCGCCGGGGTCCAGGAGCTGCTGGAGTCCGGGGAACGCTTCGGCCGCGGCGTGGTGGCAGGTAGGCAGAGACGGCATAGTTACTTTAAAAAGTAGCTGTAATTGGATTACTGATTACTTGATTTGGAGAGTAACTAAGTTAGATTACAAGTTACTTTTTGTTACTTTACAACCAATCAATGCAGAAATTACACTGAGTTTCACCAAATCAACATTTATTTCATAAACATCAACAATGTGTCTCCACTTATGAGGTTGAACTGAAGAATAGATTGTTTAATGATTACAACAGCCCAAAAAAAACTTTTAATAATTTTAGCGTGTTTTTCTTTGTTCCACCGTCTGTAAAACTCTAGATAGGATTTTAGAGCCCCCTTCCAGCCCCCTCTGTGTTACGGCCCTGCAGCTCCTCCAATCAGATGGCTGCACAGATTAGTGACACTTATCTTAACTAACGAATGACGTTCAGCTGTGAACTCGTTCGTTCGTGGCTGTTTTCATGTTTATTGATCTGTTCATGTTCGTCTCGATATTTAAAGATTTCTGGAGCGCGAAGCTCGACGTCGTTCACAGGTCATATAAATATTTCTATTTCTATTGCCTGGACATTAACAAAGACACATCGGGATGGATCATCTGGGAAATGATGTCAGTCAAATTCTGGGGTTTATTGTGTCTCTGCTTATTTCTAAATGAGCAGCTTCACGTTCAAAAACAAGCCCAGGAAACCGAACGCAACTCATTAAATTTGCAAACAAATTTAGAAAAAAAAAAAAAAGCCCAAAGTCGCCTATAATAATGAGACTTGATGACAGAAACCCAAAGTAATTCCTGTTTTCCCAGGATAAGATGTGCATCTCCTCCACGGTTCAGCTGCTGTATAGAAACGGTGGCGAGACGCACAGAGATTAAATTACTAAAGAAAATAGATTACATGCTACTGAAAAAACTGGCTGGATTAGAGTAACGGGTTACTGACATCACTGCAGGTAGGTGACCCTGAATGCACCACCAGTCAGCACATGGTGGCAAGTGGTGACCTGCGACTGCTGGACTTTCCACGCTGCCCTGAACGCATCAGCAGTCCTGGCGGATCACCCACCTGCGGACCCTGGGTGGTGGTGCATTTGAGGCAGCGTGTAAAGCCCGGTCATGAACACATCTCCGTCTGTTCCTGCCAGGCCTGGTGGATGTGGGCAGGACCTGGCAGTGCCCCACCTCCCTGCCAGAGGCGGAGCTAGCAGAGTTGCAGCGTTCGGCCGTTCTGATTGGTCTAGAGGAGAAGCACCTGACCTGGCTGTCCAATCCCCGCTGGCTGAAGGGGCCCCTGAAGGCCCCGGGAGGTCGCGACCTCTGGACCGTGGAGATTCCCGCTGAGCTGATGCCATGAGAACACTGTTAGTAATGAGGAAGTAGCATTAGGGTCACCATTAGTCTCCATGGCAACAGAATTCTGCTGAGACCCGCTTCCTGTGTAAGCTCCTCCCCCTGACCAGTCGGACCGGAACCAGACAGAGGGGTTCTGGTCTGGTCCAACATCAGCCTCCATCATTGTTTGTAAATATTGTGTTGATTTTTGTAAATAAATTTCTACTGGTTTAAAATATTTCTGCTCATTTCTAGTTTTTTAAACAAGTGGGGAAGGGGCTGAGGTCACTCTGGGTCGGGCTCCGCCCCCTACAGCCCAGAAATGAAACTGACCCGATTCTGCTGTGGAACGAACTTTATTCACCCAAAACAAACCGGCACCAGAACTGAACACAAAGAAATCCCTCGCAAAGGTGAGGGACTAGCCCCGCCCCTTAGCCCCGCCTCCCACTGTGATTAGCCGCTATTCAGAACAACCCGGTTCCGATTCCTCCATCTTCTGAACAGGAAGTGACTGTGGCAGACATGTTGGAGAAAACCATCCTAGTGCATCTCAGTCATGTGACTTTAGTTGGAACTCAAATCCTGAACCTGAACCTGCTAGCGACACCCATTGAAAATAAAGGGAGCCATTAGCCACAAGCTAACGTTCACATGGAGGGGGACATGTAGTGTGTGGGGGTGTGATGAAGGTGGGGGGCGGTGATGTAGCCGACCACATGAGGACTGGGGACGGGGCAGTAGACACGGGGGGCGTGGCCTGAGGTCGACAGCGCCCCCCAGTGGGCAGGAGGAGGAACGCAAGGATGGTAGGAGGAGTGGGGCAGGTGGGGGGGGTGAGGAAGAGGAGGCTGAGGCGCTGCTGGCAGGTAGCCAGCAGGGGGCGGAGCTTCAAATGGCAGGTGCAGCAGAGTGGCGGCAGGAAGGGCGGTCTGATCCGGGTACAGCAGTCCTGAGGGGGTGGAGCCTGGAGACGCCGGGGTCATGATGGAGGCGGGTCCTTCCACTGAGGGGGCAGGGCCTGAGAAGTAGGAGGAGCATCAGAGGTTCAGACTTTCTATCGAGTTCCTACCGTCAGAAGGTGGTGCCGGTACCGACCGCTGGGCTGGGCCTCCGTCTGGCTGTCCGATGCCCTGGAGGATTCTGGGTAGGAGGAGGGTGGCTGCTGGGCCCGGCCACAGCCACCCTCAGGGAAGGGAGGGGGGGCCGCTGGGGGCAGAAGCACAGGAAGGAGTCATCACATCCCAGTTCAGACTGGTTTCACTGGTTTTAAACAGACTCCGGTGTCAGAGGGTTGAGCTCCGGCCCAAACGACCCGGTTCTACAGAGAATGTTCCGTCAATCAACTCTGGACCCGACTCACCGTGGGGGGGGGGCTCCTGGCCCAGGTAGTGGGGGGAGGTGGGGGGAGGGTAGGCCTGCTGCTGCCAGCAGCTCTGGTGGAACCACTGGGGGGTCAGGGGGCAGAGGGTTAACGTGGCAACAACCATGTTACCCCCAGTTACCCCCAGTTACCCACCTGCACTCCCAGGTTGTAGTAGTACTGGACGACCCTGCAGTCTGAACACAAACATCATCAGATCTAGAGCCGACCCTTGGGGCCAGATTGAACCATGTGACCTCTGACCTCTGGGCAAGTCGCTGCCGTTTGGGTCGTAGGAGTAAGGGGGCGGAGCCAGCACGGTGCACAGAGGCTCGCCCGACTCGCTGACCAACCAGGGAGTGGCAGCGGATATCGTCATGGAAACTGAGGAGAGAAAACCAATCAGATCTCCCGGCTGACCGGCGGCCCCGCCCACTGACAGCAGGCGTACCTGGGCGAGTCTGAGCGTGTGCGGCCGGCGGCAGGTGAGTGGCGGCCGGGACCCGGGACGGCGAGGGAGGCGAGGAAGAGGAGGAGGAGGGGGAGGAGCAGATGACCGGCAGCGGCTTCACCACCTGGAACAAACACACCTGAGGCAGTTCACCTGACAGGTGGGGCCGTCCCACCTGCCCCCTCTAGAGGTGAACGTCAGGGAGTTCAGGTTACGAGCGCTGGACAGAACGAGGCATCCAGAAAAGATATTTTTGCTCCAAACTCATCGCTGGAGACATCGGAGCAAAACTCGATATAATCACAAGTTCAAACAAAACGTATTTCAATTCTTTGAAAACTGATTTTTTTGCAACAGATGGCTGACTAAAAAAAATAAATTAATACGATAAAATAGTCAATTTAACAGTCTGTTTGACTAGCTTCATATTTTATGTTCTGTTATGACTGAAAGTTTGCTGTAAAGTGGAGCTTTTATGTGTTGAAAAATATCAATGACAATATAAATTTTAGTTAAGAAAAGCCTGATGCTACATTTGAAAAATAAAAAACTAAAGTAACTTTTTAAGAGAAACTATGGATGTTGTGACTTTATGAACCAAAACTGTTACAATAATTCATCAGTTTTCTCCTCTAGCCTGAGAAAAAAACATGTTTAAAAATCATGATGACGATAAGAACCAAGCAGCTTTCTATTCCACCCCCACAAAAAGATATTCATTTCATAATTATATATGAAGTTTTCCCTGCAACGACTTTCTACAGAAGAAATTAAAAATAAATATCAGTTCCTGCGTTTTGTGATGAGATTTTCAGACAATAAACATTTTTTAAATTGACTTCATTAAAGTTTTTAGAAAGATTTTCAAAAGTGGATATTACACCAGAAATCTATTCTATATTTAAGTTTTAATATAATAAAATTTGGTCTTCTAACAGGGATGAAGAGTTAAATTATGATACATTTAATCCTCTGGTTAGTTAAAAATCACCTCCATTTTTAAAGTGAAATCATTTTATTTTACAGAGTGCTTAAACGTTGCAACATCACAAAAGCCCAATATTTAAACCAACATGTTAATATCTTAAGATCTGAAATTTGTTTTGCATTTGCAACGTTTTCTTTTATTTTCCTCAGTTTGTGACCATTATTTTTATTTCTGCTCAGTTTATCAACCCCTAACCCAAAAGGGGCGGGGCTAAAGCAGGAAGTGGGTACGCACTACGACCCTTATGTAGGAACCCTGCTACATGAATGAAGTGACCTCACGTCTGAAGCTGCATCACTCCCACTTCAGTCCATCTGTCTAGTCAAAATCCAGTTCCGTTGGTGTGAACGCTAATTGACCTCTGACCTCTGGTCCTGCAAACCTCAGTCTGGGTTTGGTTTGAATGTGAACTACAAGCAGACCAGAGAGAGCATTCTGGGTAAATCCCACCAAAGTTAACGTGTTAGCCTAGCGCTAGCAGGAGAAATGGCTCCTGGTCTTTAGCCAAAGAGGAAAGAGAAATCCTCCAACAGCTAAAGTCTGACGCCTCCATCTCGTTTCCATTTGGTGAAGAAGGAAGTTGCCTCAGTGTCTTCAGAGGTTTTTGTGTCGATTCTTGGTGCAGCGCCCCCACAGGCCAGGAGGGGAACAGGCTCCTCAGAGAGTTTGGGGGCAGAAGCAGGTGTGCTTACCTGTGGAGTGTAGCTGTAGGTTATGTCTGATCTGCTTGGAGAGTTGGTCGGACCCCTTTCCTGTTCGTCCTTTCATAATAAGACAAAAATCAAATATATTTATTTATGAAGCATGTTTCCAACATGCAGCAGCAGCAAAAAAGCTTTGCAAGGAAAAACAACCAAAAAGTTCAAAGACAAGGTCAAAGAATCAAAGATCAGACAGAAAAAACAACCTGAATGGCTGGGAACCTGACAGCCAACCACAAAGGTCAAAGGTCATAAAAATGAAACGTCTGGGTTTCATTGGAGAACTTATGGCCATAATGGAGGAAACTGAGGTGTTTGTGGGCGTGTCTGTAGTGATTCATGCTGAATGATGATGAAGGGCTAGTGTTAGCCCCGCCCATCTAACTGGAAGAAACAGGAAGTAGGCAGGGCAGCTGCAGTTTGATTGGACCAATCAGGAGAGAGGAGCTGGAGCCAATCAGGGAAACAGGGCAAGGTGTAAACGTCGTTACCTGACTGGCAGCGGGCTCATTGGCTGTGTAGACGCCTGGCATCTGGTAGCTCTGATCTACAACACAACACGATGTCACTTCCTGTCCCAGCAGGAAACATGGCAGCAACGTGCCGATCCTCACCCTGGGCGCCGAACACATACTCCTCCGCGTACTCGGCTGAAACCGATCACATGGCCGTCACACGGCACGCTCACCCAGGCTTTTATTCTGAAAGGTCGGCCACTCACCCTGGTCCTCCACGGTGCTGACGTCCGCCTGGTCATCCTCTGAGGAGCAGGCAGGCGTGGCGCCGGGCGGGGAGGTTGGTGGGCGGCCCACCGCGGTCCGCTGCACCCGGTAGGAGGAGCCTGAGGGAGGTGAGGGGCCCCCTATGGGGGGACCCACAGCAGGGCCCTGTGTGGGAGCACCATCAGCAGGATTAACCAATCAGGAGCCAGTAATGGACTCAACAGCAGCGCTAATGGCCGCAGCTAGCTCTAGTAGCAAATAAGGTTGGGTTGGTAAAAGTTGTTCTAAAGCACTTTTGGAAATATCCAAGTATTCTACAGTACAAATATTTCCTGATACTCCAATGTACGATATCAGTATGTTGCCCCTCTGCCTCGTTGCCCCGACGATGCCAACATGCAGCAGTTCTGCTATCGACACCTGGAAAAACCTCAGCCTGAAGGAAATTAAATGACAAACTCTCATCATTTAAACCCCACCCACGACCGATGGGACCCCCGATGGGACCCCTCCTGTCCACGATGTTCAGTACTGCGGTTGTGATCTGGAAGCAACCCGGTTCTGGTTCTGGTTGCTCACCTGCAGGGGGGGGAAGACGGCATCGCCGGCGTCCTCCAGCTGGTAGAAGGTCATGGGCGGGTCGAGGTCGGCTGCTTCCTCCACCGCCTCAGCGGGAAACCCAAACTGACATTCCTTACTGACGGCCAGCAAGTGGCGCCGACTGCGGCTGGCAACACAAAGACATGAAGGAGAAGGTTCAGAAAGACCTGTTCTGGTTCTGGTCGTGTGGACTCACCGGGACCGGAAGGCGTAATTCTCGTAGTCCTGGTAATATCTTCTGCCTGGGTGGTAATAGGTCAGATGTGGACCAATCAGCTGACGGTTCAGGAACCGAGTAGGACTTCAGGGTAGAACCAGAACCCCGAGGTCAGGTCGGGTTGGAGAGAAGAGCAGAAACCAGCCAATCAGAGACATGAAGCAGCTGGGGGTGGGGTGTAACAGATGGCGGACATGTTGGACGGCGTTCTACCTTGACATGGCGTAGCGTGGGGCTCTTGCTGCAGGGGTGTGGTGGTGTGGGGGGGCATAAGGGTCGTAGGTCAGGGCCCCTGGTGACGGAGGGAGGGGTGGGCGAGGATGACCTGTGGGTTGGAAGCGGGGAGGGAGGGATGAGGGGGCGGGGCCTCCATAGGAAATGGGCGGTGGCATCAGTAGCTCCGTCCCCTTTGCCCCGCTGCTACCGCGGGACTTCCTGAAGTAACGATGGCGGTGATGACGCTGACCTCGAGACTCTGGGTCTGCTGAGAGAACAGAGGGGTCACGGAGGGGTCACTGTGTAACCCAACAGAACCAGAACCCAAACAGAACCAGAACCTCACCTGGATCTCCTTTCCTGGCTGGCGCCGCCACGTTCCAGGCAGGCACTGGGTTGACTGGTTTCAGATCCGTCAGCGGAACCAGGTGTCTGCGTCACATCAGCAGGAACTTCAATCTGCTGCCAACAGCCAGATCCAGAACCAGGTTCTAACAGGGTTCTGGTTCAGACCCAGTTCTGAAAGGCTTACTTCTCTCCCAGCTCCTCAATGAACACGGTGACGGCCGTCGAGTGGGTTCCCACTTCCTGGATGAAGGCATTGTAGAATTTCCCTTTGGGCTCCAGACGAACCTGAAATCAGGAAACTGAGGCTGATCCTAGTTCTGGAGCCTCCAGAACCGGTCCAGGTTCCCAGTCCGGCCCTCGACCAGCTGCAGAAGGTCTGGAGAACAGCCAATCAGAAAGTGAGTCGTTACCTGGCACTTGTCTCCCAGGAAGTACTGTCGACCCGCGAACACCATGTAGTCCGTCTTCTGCATCTCTGTCACAGCAAAGTAATCAGATTACTACAAACAACCTGACTTCATCCAGGTGTCTCACCTGTGATCAGCTGACCGGTTCACCTGGGACCAACAGTTCAACACAGCACAGTAGGGCCGGACGATGTATTGCCAGTTTTTCATTTTACGATGGTTAAAATGGCTCTATCGCAAAAATCAAGTATAAATTGTTGTTCAAATAATAAGCTTCAGTTATCAAAATCACTGAGTATGGTTTATCCGACACCCTACGAATGCATCACTAGTCCCTCACCCCTCCCAACCGGAACATTTTCTGCCAATCACGCTGCGGAAACTGAAGAGGAGTCAGATGAACTAGTCTAGTTAAACAGCGCTGGATTAATAATCTGGCAGTAGTTTGGACTTTATATTTAGGATGTCGAACAAAATGCAGTAACCCATCCCCAACCTCTCAACCAATCAGAGCTCTACTGATCTGATTGGTTGATTTCTCTGTTGGTCTGATCAACAGGTTGGCCTGGTGACTTCCTGCGTTACCTTTGCAGGTGTCCTGCCACACGTCAAACTCCAGGTTCCTGTAGACGTCGCCGTCCAGAGACTTCAGGACTTTGTAGGGCAAACAGAGTCTGGAGGTGGGCGGAGCCTCAGCAGACGGCTAAACGACAGCAGACACGACATCACCACAGGTATAGCAAGGCTGCTATTTCATCGTCTGACCTTCCCGATGCGTCCGAGTGAGCCGGACACTCCGCTTCGGTCAGACTGCCAGGAAAAAAAAATCTGACAGTCAGCAGGGGGCGCCACGATGCAGGCTTAGGGGGCTTCTCCAGATCCGGTCCTCCAGAACCGGTCCGATGGAATCGCCTCCTTGGTGCGTTCCCGGTTCACCAGACACCGGGCCGGACCTGCGGATCCGGTTCTGGAGATTCTGTACCAGACCTGCAGAAGCTGCCATCTTTATTTCTTCCTGCATTTAAACGGTGACATCATCACTTCTCGACCATCTTCTTCAGACTTCAGTGCCTTGTTTGTTGTCATGGAAACGGGGCTAGCTACATGTGGGCGGAGCCTAAGGCTGGCAGCCTCACCTTGGTCTCCTCTGCTGCTCCGCCCGCCTCCGCCTCGTCCCTGCAGGTGAAACCAACGCTGACATCATGTGACCGCAGACATCCAATCAGGAAGTTGGAAGGTTGGCTCACCTGTGCACCCGGTCCTCAGGTGCGTCGTAGCCCACGTCAACGTCGCTGCACACAGACAGGCTATTTCTATAGCGACGACCTCCAGCCCTGAAGGCCTCCATGGCCTGCCAGAGCTCCCCTCCCTCCACGCCGAACACCTGAGTGTAGAGCAGCTCGTAGAGCAGAGCTGCACACAGAGACACACCTGAGCAGGTAGACACACCCACACTCCCTCCCCGCCTGAGGCCACGCCCACTCACACTGGCACAGCGCTGCCGAGGCTGGGTAGCTCCGCCCATAGATGATGTCATAGTGACCATTGATGGAGCAGCACAAGGTTACCTAGGCAAGAAGAGGTCGAGGTCACCAGCAGCCAATCAGAAGCCAATCTGAACACCTGACCTCAGTGACACCACCTTGTCCTCAAAGTCGTTCTCTGAGATGATGGTGGCCGGTTTCCCGGGGTAACGGTAGATCAGGAAACACCGCCTGCAGGTGGACTGGAAGTTACCTGCAGCCAGGTGACTATGTGACCTGCAGCAGTCATGTGACCTCACCTGTAGAGCTGAGACAGAGCCTTGATCTCCACCTGACCCACCGTCTCCTGAAAACACAAACACAAACACACACACACACACACACACACACACTGAGCTGGTGGGATCCAGGTGAGCTCAGGTGAGACAGAAGCTCACAGGGACTCGCCTTCGGATCCTCCAGACGCTCCAGGTACTTCTCAAAGGAACCCTCCACAAACTGCAGGGACAACAGACAGGTGACCCGTCAGAGGGCGGGGCTCAGCAGACAGGTGAGCACCTGGCAGGGGGCGGTGCTTCAGTTCTGTCAGAACCATTGATCCCAGCACTCTTTCAGCCCAAACAATCAGAACATGTCCAGGTCAAAGGTCACCAAGGTTCTTCATCTCCAAAAGCAGAACACACCGACCCAGTTCTGGATAGCACAGCTCCCCCCGGAGCTATGCTATCCAGCTCTGAGGCAAACCCCAGTGGGGGCTTAGGTTCGGTTCGGCCCAACTCACCGGCTCAAAGTTGCACCTGTTGGCCCGCATGAAGCTCGCGCAGTCTAGTCGGATCTTCTGATGGTAGTTCTGGGAGAAGTAGAGCTGCGGGACAGAACCGAACCGAATGGGTCAAATCGGAACAGTCACAGAAACAATGGTCCTGTTCCAAACCTATCATCTCCATTCGGTGACCTCTGACCCCCCGCACCGACTCACCTGCTCGGAAACGGCCCGGAACAGGCTGGACGCATCCCGCGCGACCATCTTCCGGTACAGACCCAGACTGGACAGGTACTCGTCCATGTTCACGAAGTACTTCTTCAGGCCTTTCTGCATCCCGCCGAACCGAACCGCGCTCCACGTGCACGGAACAGTTCCTGACCTCAGTGACTTCCGCTAAAGCGGCCGCGCGCGCCTCCAGGTGACTTCAATCAGGTCTAATGAACGCCAGACCGCGCGTTGTCTGCGAGGCATTCACGGACGAAGAGAGGATCGGAAAGAACCGTTCACTGGCTTGGAACCGCAGCACTGAATGAACCGGATCATTATGACGTCAGAGGAATCAACCATTGTTGCATAGAAAGTTACAAAATTCACAATATGTTCAGATTAATGGCGTTAATTCTGATTTACTGAAGCTTTCGGCTGCAGGTGAGCACCGAGCAGGGGGTGGGGCTTAGTCGGAGTCGATGTCGGACCTTCCGGTTTTATTCCCGCCTGTCGGTGCTCGGCTCTGGTTCTGTTTTTGGGTTCTAACCACAAACCAGAATAGGGCTGCCACCCGTCCCGTAAAATACGGAACCGTCCCGTA